AGATCAGTTTTATGTTGGCGTGGTTTACTTTTATACACTGCACAATATTGATAATATTCATTAGTAAGTTGCGCGGATAAAAACGTACGAACATAAGGCTAATCCTAACACTATCCTTGGAGTTTAAAAACTATATGTAGCCTGCTCAAGAGTCAGATCTTCTCGCAGCCTATTTATCCATGCCCCAGGTGGACGTACTTCCAATGTCGTCTATCAAGAGGCTTTCGGTAAATAAAACTAATTTTTTCACAGATGTGTGATACACTAAAAACACACAACTACAACTCATCACAATTTGACATTTTCCGTTTTTTCTAAGTGACGCAGTTAACACATGGTCCACAGTATCTTTTGTTATCTTATATCTAATTGTTATAATAATGTACAATAAAAAATGTAAAATGTAATGTAAATAATGTACAAGTAATTTGTTTGTTAATTATAAATAATACATTAATTTAAACATGTATGGCTTCCTTTTGTCATAAACATTCCTGTTTATTCATTCCTTGTGATCTGTCTTCTTCCACCCTTACCAATTGGGTTTGGCTTATTCTTCCGTGTCTCCTTCATCCTGTCAATTATTCCATTTGTTTTCCCATCAGATTAGCCATCTCACTTTTTCCCTGGTGTCTCATCTGCATCATCCATTGGAGTAAATTTTTCAAGCAGGCAGGCATTTGAACCACTCCACATATTTTCATCTCTCACTATCTGCATTGTGTTGCTCTTTCTTCCTCGTGGAGTTATTGTCTTTTGCTTGTTGTTATTCTTCAGATCTCAGTATGACTTTAATTGGGTAGGTTTTCTTGTGATATATTTACTTCTTAAATATGCCTGTTCTCGACCATACTCACCCATAAAATTCATGGGTAAAGCAGAAGGGGATGGCTGCCCATCCCTGCCATTCCTTAGATTGAATAAATCAGGTTTGGTCTGCTTTTCAGTATGGGTGTGAACATTTCTATAGACTCAACACTTCTATGTTTTCTTCCAGTGGAGTAAAAGAGTCCTTACCACTTTCCAGTTTCATGCCATTAGGGTGATGGACTATGGAGGTCTCCTCCTGAATGTGAAATATACAATATAAAAATAATCCATCCATTCAGCTAAAGGTAGGGTGGTGGTGTTTTGCTGGTGTAGACATGTTTGGGATTCCTCATCCAATCCCCACTTGGAAGTCACTTCCAGGTAGTAGAGTTTTGAATTTAGGGGGATGAACCAATCACCATATATTATTACACAGACCATGCAGTTGGGATCCATCATCCTACCCCAGATGATGTTTGTTTCTGGTGGTTGAGTTTTGGATTTAGAACTGAACCAATCAACATGATGTACTCACACGTGTTCAGAGTGTCCCTACTCAATTGGTCTCAAGTCACTTCCCTGTGTTGTGGGTCACGATGGGTGCACTTGGTTGTTGCTCAGCTTCGTCCTCTTGAGCTCTCCTCGATGTTTCATGCCATAGATGATACTGCGTTTGGGGTGTTTCAGGTATGTTTGATATTAGAGGAATCTATCTGTATTTCATTCTGATCACATGTGCCCTCTTCATCAATTGGTGATAATTCTCCCTCTGGTTGGCTGAACTTGAGGTGAAGATGGTATGATTCTCTTTCCTACTCCTGCTTGAATGTTGTCCCCGGTAGTTGATTTTTGGATTGAAGTAGACTTACCGATGTTATGATCCTCATCCGACCCCTTTTTGGATGTCAGTTCCTGGCGGTAGTGTTTTGGATGCAGTTGACTTGCTGTTACCCTTGCCACTCTACATCTTGAGGTACATCCCTTCTTTTACCCACAGTGAGATGTGCTCCTCATTTTGTCTACCCGACTCAATCTCACCTTTTCTCTGTCTGGGCGAAGAGTATATCTGGTACAGGATTGGTGCAGTCTTCCATGTATCATCCTCTTCTTTGAGGGTTCCCTCTTGGGGGTGTTCTCTGGATGCTTTTGGGGGATGCTTCTCTATTCTCCCTTGCACTGGACCCTCCACCTATTCAATGTTGGATTCTAGCTATGTATGTGAGCAGAAGTAAGATACCTTTTCAGAAATTATAATTTTCTTACACTGAAAATATATTGCCAACAGGTACTTACTTCTTCTCACACTTCCCACCCTTTCTTCCTTTCCCACAGACAATTGGTGCTTAGTTTTCTGCCTAAACTTAAAATGATAGTTAGGTGGAATAGTAGAGGGAGTCACATGTATGTGAGGCACGTCTATTGGTGGAGGTTTGTTGCATGATGATTTGCATGCAATAATCAGTTAAACCATGTGAACTGAGAGGGTGCGTAGGAATAAAAGGCTTGTGGCGTGTGAAAACAAATTTGCAAATAGAGGGCAGCACTCAATCAAAATAGCTATATATATATATATGTGAGTGGAAGCAAGTACTTGTCGGAAATATATTTTCAGTGTTTGAAAATTATAACTTTTGTTAATTTTTTGTTGCAATTTTTACCTAGTAATTTTGGTGCTTGAAAAAACTTGTATTCAAAATGTTATAATACATGTGGTTGTGCAACATGGATATTGACGTTAAACAAAAGTAATTTATTTTCTACTAATCTATTAAAGTCTAATATGTATATAAAATATATATTTTTATGCATTGATTATACTGTCTTACATCTATGCTTTTCATTCCTGATTGATACAAGTTGTCTGAAATATACCAGGATATCATTGTGGGAGTGCAGATGGTTGGAGTGCAGTCTATTGGTTTACAGCAATGAAGGAAGGTACTAACTGGAGTCCTCGTTTTGCTGTATTTGGTGACCTTGGAAATGTCAATGCCCAGTCACTCCCACGACTTCAGAGGGAAGTTCAGCAGGGAATGTATGATGTCGTGCTTCATGTTGGTCAGTTGTAATTTGTTAGAAATATCTACATGCACAACAAATTTAAGAATAAGCATCAAATTGTGTTGATTTACTTTTTTATAAAATGTGTTTAGTTCCAATGAAAATTTAGTTTTTGAGATATGAAAGTTGAGGAGAAAAATTGGTTTTAAGCAATACAAATTTCTTCAGAAAGTTTAATATGTTAAAAAGATAAATTATTTGTTTGAAAGTGAAAGACTCAGAAATTTAGAATTTTTGTTTGTGATTTCTTTAGATCAAATTTTTTGTATTTTGCTGATGCTAACAATGTTTTACAGTTTTATAATATTGAACAATTTTTTATAATGCTAATACTAATTTCCAAATTGTCTGTGAGCAAAAAACAAAATCCATAGCAATCATGGTCATTTTTCAATATAGGAAGTGTTATTATGGGAGCTAATTATTCAGATGGCCAGTATTATATATCCTACACAATTGTAAAGCTATTTAATGGCATTTACAAAATATGCTAATGATGCGCTATTTCAGGTAATTGTTTCAGCATTTTAAATGCAAAGATGTAGTCATATCGTGGATAGCTTGCAAGACATTGGATAATAGTGTATTGACATATGCAGAATATAGAGGTTGAGTATGTTATATTAAATGTTCAAAGCTCAACACTTCTACCTCTAGGCTCTTCCTTATCCATATAATGTATGAGGACAAAGGTTTTTCCAGCATGTTTTTATGTCATTTTTGGTTGTGACATGATTTGCTTATTTGCATTTTCAAAATCATTTTAAAGTGATGGACTCGACCATTGGACTGATCATGTGCTTCTTAAGGTAACTGCTTCTCCCTTTTAATACAAAGATGTCATATTGTGATTAGTTTGAAAGATAATTGATAAGGACAATGATCTCTCCAATTTTCAAAAAAGAACAATATTGGGTGCTTGTCTAACAAGAGTATTGTTATTATAGATTATTATTATTATCTTTTTTTTTTTGATTGGCTACTCAAAGACACCTGTCACCAGAGTATACCAAGAGATAATGAAAAGAGAATGCAATTGTAACTAGGAAAAACTTTGGCCAAGAAAAAGATGATTGGATAGCACAGGATTTTAAAATTCAATAAATGTCCGGCTGTTTCTCAATTCAACAATGCTGAAGGTTTGACTGTCTCCATTAGTGACATATTGCAGCTGACAACCCATCTGAAAATCATATCTATGTATGATTGGAGTGCAGATTTGTGAATAGTATATGACTAGATAACATGTTATCCAGTGACTTACATTTCACCATTTTCTGTACTGACAATAAAAAATATGAAGAAAAGTGTATGAGGCTCTTGACCTTCCTTGTTTTAACAACTAACAGTGCAAGATGTGGAGGTGATGTAACTGTGAGAGAACATTCTCATGACAAGGTTTGGTGTTTGATTTCTCTGAAAAGACTAAGAATATTCATTGTGTACCTTAATATTGTTGCCAATTATCTCCATCCCATAACAGCATTTATCTAGAATTGGTTCAGAGAGCATTTCAGTGACTTTTATCACCTTTTTTGTCAGTCCAACTAAGTATCTTTGGAGTAATCCTGAATATTCCATTCATCTCTGTGATCCATTGTCAACATCTGTGAAGTGATTGTAAAATATAATCTTCTAGAATTAGCTCCAGTTTAACAAAACATCTTCTGATATCTTGGGAGTGTATTTCACACTTAGCTCATGTTTTTTGTGTGCCATAAATGTTAGCTTTAAAAACGTTTTAATAACAGATGCATAAAAGTGAAATATATTTTTCTAGAAGAGCAAGATTATCCCATTAACCAATCTTAACAGATTAATTTGTCATTCATGACCTTTATATGGGGTAAGTTTGAAGTGATACTGGAGCAATAGATGAAACGTAACAAAATAGCTTATTCCATAATATTGGAACATAAAGTACAGAAGTCTTGTTTTTTTTTTTACAGGTGATTTTGCTTATAACCTGGATAGTGTAAGTCTCAATATTTGTTTCTTATAGAATTAAAAGTTATTTCAAAGTTTCACAGAGCAATTATTATATATGTACTGTTATTATGTAGTTTTGTGTATGCTATCTTTAATTTGCTTTTCTCTTTTACCAATTTACGTAATATTTAAGAGGTACAAAAGCAATTAAGAAATTTAGGATTCTGTATGTATAGCAGCTATATATATACGAGGGGTTAACCAGAATCTTAATTAGCCACTACAATTCTGAAACATTTTAATAACATTGCTATTGTAAAACCATCAGGATACTTAGTATTGAGTTTTGTTCCTCAACATACTAAAGTTGTTGTTTCCAGATGAAGCTTTTTATTTATTATTATTATTTAAACTAGACATTAGTGTCTAAGTATGTTCTATATGTTATAAAACATTGAAAGTATTCTCAAATCAAAAATGAAAAACATTTTGTATATACTGAGCATTTAGTAAAACATGTACATTTATTTACCAATGTAGTTATAAAATGATGTATTGCTAGTTAATTAATTATGTTATCAAAATTATTCAAGCATTATAAATATGCAGATTTCAGCTACTATAGTTTTATAATGTATGCTTGACTCAAGTTCTTATTTTATAAACAGAGTAAGAATCCATGTTTATTATAAGTATGGACTAGCATGGTCAGATTGTGAATCGATGGCTTATGGTTCAATCCTGTTGCTGCAGAAATGCACTGCACTTTGGGGTCTTGAGTGTGTTAACTTATAAGAGTGACAGTCAAGTTCTACTGATTGATCGGGACTAGAATAATTCAAGAGTTGGTGAGGGGATGCTATTAAATATCTGTCTGTGAGCTCAAAATGATGGATGGATGGATACATACAGATATCTCTTGCTTTGCTTTGTGCAAAAATTCTGAATGAAAACATTAACTGTTTACAAGCCTACAGAATAGAAATAGATGGATGTATTGCTCATTAGACTGGAGGTAGACTTTACTGGTATGTAGAAGGTGTAGGAGCTTCAGCTACTAATATTCACTGAGCCTCATTTTCAAGCCCCAGAGTCCTCAAATAATGAGTGCTATTTGGTAAAGACATAAATTCACTATAGGTATATTTGTGTTAATTGTTTAATATTTGCAGCTAATTTCAGAAAATTTTAAATTAATAAAACAAAAAAAAATGTTTAAAGTGAACTGTACAGTTGAATTTTATGCAAGTTGAACATTACTGTGGTAAATGAAATATAGAAAGTGTAGCAATGTAAAAAAGTAAATATTAATGCTGTTTATTTTGGAAAATAAAATGTATAGAATGATGCTAAAGTAGGAGATCAGTTCATGAGACAGGTGGAACCAATTGCAGCATATGTTCCTTACATGACTTGTGTGGGAAACCATGAACAAGCTTAGTAAGTAGTTGGATCGCTAGATAAATAGATTAAAGCTGTATTGATGTGTATCTGTGTTTTTATTTATCTTATATTTGATTATTATGATGTTTGATAGAATGGAGTTTCTTTTCTTTATCAGTTGTTTTCATAAAATTATTAAATACAGCTTTGTTGGCAGAGAATCTCAGTTGATATAAATTTTTCATGAAACGTGAACATTAAAAGGATCTTTTTTAATAACAGTTATTTAAACTGTTTTATAGTATTTTAAAATTATCCTCAAAAGTAGATTACATATGAATCAATGCTAATGTTTTCAAGTAGAATAAAGTAATTTGTTACATATACAGTTTTTGGATATAATTACGGAAATGGGTCACACACAATGTGTAATGTAACTAAATGGCCAAATTATTATCAGTACAAAACATTATTACAGAAAATACAAAAGAAAAACCATTAATTGTACAATGCATAATTTGACTCTATGGAGGTAGGCTTGGTCAATTTGACCAACCCTGTAACCACCTTACAACTATGAAACCATACATAACTCTGATTGTACTAAATGTATCTTAATGAAATTTGGCAAGCTTTTAGTAAATATTACAAGTATGTTGTACATAAAAGTCACGTAACCTCGAGAACCTCTTAAGTGAATATCAAGGTTTTTAATTTTGTTGAAACTTCATATTTTATCTCTTATTTTCTCTATCCTTACACTTACTGTAACAAAATCATCAGTATACAGTGAATAAAAATTTGAAAAGCATGAAATAAAATCAAAACCCTCTCTTTTTTTGTCTATAATGACTGCGTATAATTTTATTGTTATTGTTTTTTGAACTGTGTCTAACTAGTGTAACAAAGCAGTAAATCACTTGGCAAGAGCTTAGGATAAACAAACTATAAAGTTACATCACAAAATGGCAACCTTTGTGATTTCCTCAAAGATACCATGATAATGTTTTTATTTTTTTCATTTAAGTCTTCTTATCTGTCTTAATAACAATTGTTTTAGTTAGTTCTGTTCAAAAATATATAACTTTTAGCACTTGAATTTATTGTTTACTAAGCCTATTTTTTCTTATTGTGTTGGTTGTCCAAAAATAATTCATTTAGCTATCAAATACCCATTTTAGAAAAAAAAGGAAAATGTATGCATGTATGTTTATAAATCAAGCACTAGAATGTAATATCTCAAAACTACTATAATTTATCTGGATTTCTAAGTAACACATATATAAGTTAAAAATTTTCATTACTGCTTGAAGCAACAACTTTAGTTTAACCATTTCAAGCTCTTTTTATGAATTGTTGGCTATGATCATTAAAACAAAACGGATAATTGTCTGTTTTATGTAGCTTACAATATACTCTTCTGGTTGGTTAACCATTTGAATGCAAGTAGGTCAAAGAGCACAAGACATGACCTTTTTACAGAGTTACATTCAAAATTCAGTTAAACTACTTTATTGTCAGTATATGTCAATAAATTTGGCATCAAAACATAGACACTTGTAGTATAGGTATTGCTAACAGATAATTTAGATATATAGTCTCTAATTTTCTTATATATAAATCAAAAAGTCATAACCCACATTCTTGTCTTTCAAAAAGTGCTAATAATTCTCTGATATTTCCTATTGGATTATATATATAACCAATAGAAATAGAAGAATTAAATTTACTGAATAGCATACAAGGGTGGCTTTGTCTTATGACAGGTTTGGAATTATTCTACCTATAGTTTCATTCTTTGCTATCACCAAGTCATCTCAACCACCCAAAGGAATTATCTAAAAACATGTATATCTTAATTAGATAGCTGGTTAAATTATAATAGTTAAAGTACAAGTTATTTTTTGTGCATGGTGTTCTTTTTTGTTCTAAATTGCATACTCGAAATAGATAAATAATTTCAGTAAAGTGCTAATAATAACCATACCAAAAATTAGGGTTAACTTTTATTGAGACTTTGATTGCAAAAGAAGTAGAAGACCTATGCATAAGTTCTAAATTCCTTGTTTTGTATGTAGATTTTTTCTTTGTTGTTATAAAAGTAAATAAAATGTAGAAACTAGTTAGCTTAGGTAAGGAAACTTAAAAGAAATTGAATAAAAAAAATTTCCACAAAGAATTATGTTATCATATTTTTATCAATATGTGAGTGTGGAATATTGGTTCAAATGCCCTGTTTCACACTCAACAATTCATCGAAGTTGTTTCGTTACAATTTAGCTTTCTTAGTTTCCGTACAAAGATTATAATATTCATACTGGGGATTTATGAAGATCAAGCTCATAGTTACAAGTGTTTTAATGGCTTCTTTCTTTCCAAATATAATTTTATCACATTTTCTGTATGCATGGATCACTGGCTTGCTATAAAAATGAATCTGTGTCCAATAAATCTTGTACCTGAAGGAATAACAAACATGTTAGATAAGACAGTGCTTGAACTTTTCAATAGTCAGGATGCCATGAATTTTGTGTAAATTTCCAATTCCATTAGCTATGTAGCCTATGCTTGTATTGTTCCTCACCCTTAAGCATGCTTCTCCAAAGTTCTATGTTGACCATGATATTATTATTCTCTCTATAGATTGTTAAAATTTGAATTCATCTGTAAAGAGTATTTTCCTCCATCTTTACCCATTCCATTGTTTGAAATGTACATATCATAGTCTGTTGGTATGTTATCTTTCATAAACAGTTTTTTGAGCATCTACACATCCGCTGAGGTTACTTCATGCTAATGTGTATCTTACTGTTGTGGAGGTAAAATTTGTGCTCATACTTACAGCTGTAGGTTCTTGGAAATATTTCTGTTGAATTGTCGTAAATCATGACACTTCACCTCAGTCTGTTTAATGGAGTAGCTTTCACCAGCCAAAGTTTGATTATCACATTTTTGTTATGTGGTATTTCTTTCTAGGATCATTGAGTACATTTACCACACTGCTGCTGGAAATAATACAGTTGCCTGTACTTTTTTAAGCATTATGCTGATGTGTTAGTGTCTTATTGAATGACAGCACTTCACTGTGCAAACTATCAATATGTGACTGTATTTTGGTGCAGCTCATTTTCATGCAGTAGAAGGAAGACAGTTGTATGATGCTTCCATTTTACTAATAATATTGGTTTTCTGTTATTGTTGGAATTAATTTTATGAAACTTCTATTACTTTATCATTCTTTGGTTATCTTAGCTCACCTTGCATGTATAATATTTATAATGTTTTAATTTGTCATGTAATGTTTTATATATTATAATATACCACTTGCTAATTTCTTGCAACTCAAATGATCGCAGTTTCTTTTTTTAGTAACTTTTCTAATTACGTAAACCGGTTTTCCATGGTGGAGAAAACGGGAAAGCTGAATAACCATTTTTACAGGTAGGTATAGTTTGTATAACCATTTTTACAGGTAGGTATAGTTTGTATAACCATTTTTACAGATAGGTATAGTTTGTATAACCATTTTACAGGTAGGTACAGTTTGTATAACCATTTTTACAGGTAGGATTGTTTGTATAACCATTTTTACAGGTAGGTGTAGTTTGTATAATCATTTTTACGGGTAAGTATAGTTTGTATCATCATTTTTACGGGTAAGTATAGTTTGTATCATTTTTACGGGTAAGTATAGTTTGTATCATCATTTTTATGGGTAAGTATAGTTTGTATAATAATTTTTACAGGTAGGTATAGTTTGTATAATAATTTTTACAGGGAGGTGTAATTTGTATAATTTTTACAGGTAGGTATAGTTTGTATAACCATTTTTACAAGTAGGTATAGTTTGTATAACCATTTTTACAGGGAGGTGTAATTTGTATAATAATTTTTACAGGTAGGTATAGTTAGTATAATAATTTTTACAGGTAGGTATAGTTAGTATAATCATTTTTATGCGTAGGTGTAGTTTGTATAATCAATTTTACAGGTAGGTGTAGTTTGTCTTGTATAATGGAAAGTAGAATATATTTATGGAAAGAATTTAGTAACAAGATGAGTTAGAATAGTAACCAATGTTCTCTCTAGGCCATGTGACTACATAACAACCAATCAAGTACCACACACTTAATTATTCCAACCACACACATCCTCAGTAATGGTGAGGAGTCTCAACACATTGAACACCTAAATTATTTTGGCAGTTGATAGCCCTGAAGCCCAAATAACCAACTGGTAGCATTGCAAAGCGGCCTAGTGATCCAATAGGGTCGATGGTCTAAAAATACCCCCACCCCCCAAAAAAATAAAACAACTGGTAGCACACATTTGCACATTGCCTTGATACTGGTGCACATAAAAAAAAGTGATTCCACACATGGATTTAAAAATTTAGAGGAAAAATTAATAGTAACCACCTGTTTTTCACATGCACTCAGTGAGTACTCTAGCATGCCCGTTTTCAGATGATATGCTAAGAAAATATAAAAAGATATTTTAAGAATAAATCTCAGTATTAATTTATTCTGTTTGAGGAAATATTTAACAACTTTTTTTTTTATGGAGAACATATGCTACAGAAGAAGCTGTTAAAATGACGTGTGGCAGTTATTTCTATATTTATTAGAAACTAGCTGTGTACCGTCCTTCGTACGGGTTGTGTGTAGACATAACAATGATCAGACCAAGAATACAGGTGGGAAATGAAAGGAAATCAGTGAGAAGGAGAAATTACTCTTCCTAGCCTCCAAAGTCTTGTAAAGGGAGGATTGATCCTGGTTAGGGAGAAGATAGGAGGAATGATACAGGGTACATGAAATGTCAATGGGAAACAAATCTGACTGATGATGTCCACAGGCCCAAGAGGAGGAAATACACTTTAAGGGATACATGAAACATGGAACAAGAAGACAAATGTTCAAATGAAGATAAAGTAAAGCAATGAGGCCCTACACTGACATCCCAATCCAAAAGACCTGCACACTGTGGAGGGTGATTAATCCGGAAGGAACATATCAGGAGGGATAATGTATGGGAGGCAAAAATTTACAGTAACAGGAAAAACAAAGGTGTGGGATAAGGTTGCCGAATAACCCAAAATTCGAGGAGATCAAAGACTCATTCATTTTCTTTTTAGCACTTCTGTGTTCATTCAGTTCATTCATGTTCTTTTTTAGCACTTATGTGTTCATTCATGTTCTTTTTTAGCACTTCTATGTTCATTCATGTTCTTTTTTTAGCACTTCTATGTTCATTCATGTTCTTTTTTTAGCACTTCTATGTTCATTCATGTTCATTTTTTAGTATTTCTATGTTCATTCATGTTCTTTTTGTAGCATTTCTATGTTCATTCATGTGTTTTTTTCATTAAGAATTACAGAATTTTTGCACTTGTGATATTATTGTTATGTTTAATGGGCTATCTTTCTTACCTTCATTCTTGGTGTTCAGAAAGAAAGATTCAAAGTCTTTAGACTGATTTCCATTAGAACTTTTGATATGAATTATTATCTTCCGATATGATATCTAACCTCCTTTCATTAAAAGCTCTCTAGATTAGTACTGCCCTCTATTGGCAAATTTTTTTGGCTTGCCACTAGCCTTGTAACTCCCACCTTTCTCTGCATATCTACATGCAAATGATTATGCAGCGATCCTCCACCAATAGCCGTGCAACACTACCGCTATTATAATTAGTGCCCTTTCTAATAATGCATCTGTTAACACTTTAACTATGACCTACTTAAATTGTAAGTAGGTATGCAACTCTCATGAAAGTTGTTTACAAAAATGGAACTAGTGGATGAAATTCTTTTAAATTTGAGATGAAAGGTTCTATAAGGATGTAGTTTGTGAAAAATAAGATATTTAATTTTGATTTTTCGTAAACAGTGTTTTTCTCATACCTTTTTTTTCTTTTCGTATGTTGCCTATCCAACATGCAAAGTAATTTTAATTTTAAGATAAAAAATACTTTTATGCATCAGAAAATTTTCAAATTTCACATGTGAAATCCTCATAATGTCCAGATACTTATCAAATGTTTTTTAAGAAAAAACTTTATATTTTATCTGTTATTTTCACTAATGAAAATCTGTATGGGTTTGGTCGATTTGACTGATCTCGTAACCACCATGAAAAAAATTAGGAAATAAATTATGCCTTTTTCGTTCTAGAATAACTACAAATTATAAAATGAAAACATAAATGTTTAAACTAAATAGCTTGAATCTCATAACATTAGACATTCATATATATTTATTATTTTTATTATACTGACCTTTCAGATGTGCTTGGCTAACAATACAGAAGTTGAGATGATGTGGCGCATCCTCATTGGCTTCTCGTTTTTATCAAACACCTGTTTTTGTCTCAGTGACATGCCCCTCACCTTCTAACCCTTTGCCAGTCCCGACTTCTCATTCATCAGCTTGGCACAATTGTTGGGCTGCCCATCATTGTGTTTGGGGCATTCAGTATTGGTGACTTGGTTCTCTGACAGTGGGGGGCCAGACTCTTACATTTAGCCCACAATTTGAGGTCTTTTATGGTTGATCTATGGTTTTGAAGGTCATTTCTGAAGGTCTGGCCCTCTCTGTTCTGTTGTCCCACCTTTGTCTTCCCATTAAATTTCCTTCCCCCTCCTTGGGATCCTGTTTCATGACAGTGTGTGTCTGAGATAGTTTAGGATTTATTTTGAAAGGGTGCCATCGAATGAGGAGATCCTTCTCGTACAGGATTTTATTCTCGTCTGTTTGTCGTTTCCAAAAAAGATGGGTCACTGGCACCCAGTAATTGATTTATTGTCTCTGAATCACTTCTTTGTCATTCCCTAGTTCACCATAGAGCTGTACTTAACTCTCCATTGGGTTTTCACTACAGGTCTGTGGATGATGAAGGTTGATGGGCGGATGATTATCTTCATATTCCCATATCCCCAGTACACTGACATTTCCATCGCTTTGTTCATTATAGGTGTGTTTTTCAGTTTTGGGAGCTTTCATTTGGCCCAGCTGCAGCTCCCCATGTGTTTTGCTGAGTTGTGGTCATTTGCTTGACTGGTTCATTTCTGGGGCCTTTGTTTCTACCATTACATGGACGAATGGCTACTGCTGGCATCCTTACAGGCTGACTCTGCCCTTTACACTCAGTTTTTCTTTGGGAAGCTGCCAGGGTTGGTTGGTTCATCAAGTTGGAGAAGTAATTTCTCATATCTGCCCAGCTTCTGGTTCATCTTGGAGTGTTTTTTAGTTCACTTCTCAGTGGGGCTAAGCCTTCTCCACTTCGATTGAGAAATATAGAATGTCTCATTTGAAAGGTCTCCTTCTGCTTAAGAGGTTCTATTTCTTTTGGGGATGTGGACATTTCTCGAGGCCCTCATTCCTCTGAGTCATGCCCACATGTGTCATTTTCAGTGATCTTTTATCGAACAATGGCACTTTGTTAGGGATCCCTTGGAGGTTCCTCTTACACTTCCCTCTCCATGTTTGGTGTGACAGGGATTTGAACCCGCAACCCGCAGATTGTGAGTAGTGCCCTAACCACCTGGCCATGCCGGGCCCTAAGTAAGGAGACACCTGGCCAATGTTTTTGGACATTGGATTTCCTTTGTTGCGTCCACAGTCATCACATTACTTTGCTTATGTTCCATGAACCTGGTCACTAATTGGTTGACAAGATTCTACCAACAGAGTGGTCTTTGGATCTTGTCATTTTTCGGGAGTTATGTGCTTATTGAAATATCCACAATTTGGATGCACTTGCATCTCCTCTCAACACAAAATTTCCCTATTTTTTGGTCGCCTGTTCCTCATCTGCAGGCAAATGTAGTGGATGCTGTCAGTGAGAATTGGACCAATTGTTACTTATATGCTTATCCTCCTGTTCGGCTTCTTCCTCGTATTATTTCTATAGTTCAGAGCATTACTTGTAGGGTTCTGTTGGTGGCCCCATATTGCCTGGCTTAGACATGGTTTTCACTTCTATGACAGCTATTGATGTCACCACCAGTTTCTCTCCTATTGTCTCCCATGCTCCTTTGTGAGCCTCACTCTGTATCATCATTTCCTACCTGCACTCCATCTTCACACATGGCTTTTGTCCAGATTTTCCAGGCACCTGTTTGACCAGTCTCATTGGCAGTTTATCAGTGTAAGTGGACTACATACCACTTGTTCTTTACACCACGGTTACCATCTTTCTCGACCTACTGTTCCGCACTTGTTATCCTTTTTCACTAAGCTTTATGACAGGCGTCTCTTTGTTTCTGCTGTTGTGGGTTACAGGGCAACTTTGTCTTCCTCTTTTTGATTTACTGAATTTGTGTCTGTGTTCTAATCTCATGTTCTATCTATATTATTTCATTCATTCTCCATTGCTCATCCTTCCTGCCCTGCTTCTCTCCCCAATTGAAATCTCTGTGTTGTCGTTCATGCTTTTAC